GCTCTCTCAAGAGTAGCTCTCTCAAGAGTTGCTCAAAGGTCAACCTCTAGTTGGACAGCCCTCTCGTGTGCTAGTCTCAACTGCTCTGCGGCATCCTCTCGTGTCTGCCGCACGAACCTCAATTGCTTTGTGGCATACTCTCGTACCTGCCGCTCAAGCCCTAACTGTACCATGACATCCTCTTGTGTCTGTCGCTCGTACCCTAACTGTTGTTCAACAGTCTCGCGTGCCCGCCTCTCCGCTGCCTGGCCATTGATTGCCTCATTGATTTTCAGCATATTTGTAAACAAGTAGGGCAAACCAGCAGTCACCTGCAGGCAGTCATAAGTGAAGTTTAAAGGAGAAAGGTCAGGTCCAAAACCAAAGAAAAGTACAGGACATACCAAAGCGAAGCCCTCCACAACAGCGTCAACAACACTCTTAGGACCTCGAGAGGCAACCTCCTCAACCTCCATGTGGGTCACAAACCTCCAAAGTCTCTCCCTGGCCAGCTCTCTTAAGCTCTCTGTCGTCTCACCAATGGTACCCACCTTCTTCGAGCTCCTAGTCTCCATGAATTTGTTATGATTTGAGAATAGGAAGACTAAGTGAGAGAGATGGGATGAGGGACAGTAGCTTCTAAGAGAAGCCTTTAAATAAAGGGAGATGGATTCTTGGAGAAGGTTTTGAAGAATGGCTTCTTAGAGAAGCCTTGTGGGATAGCTTCTAAGAGAAGCCCCAAAAGAAATTTGGTCAAATGGCATCCACCAAGTAATTTTTCTTTTCTTTTAAGTTAATTTCTCTTCATATTATATTGCTCAACCCCCATACTTCTTGTGCTTAATAATAGTTCTGGAATGTAATTCGAGAATTTATGTGTTAATTGTCAGATGGGCAGTTAAATTCATTTAATATTAAGACTCATTCATATAATTCCATCACAACAATTAATAAGTTTAGTACTCAAATTATAGATCAATTAATATATAATACTTTATTTATCTATAAGAAATTACCCTGTAAAAAATCTAAATCTCTCGACTAAGGGGCATCGAAGGAGGTTCGAATGACACCCATTTTATGAGGTAAATATATAAATTGAGAACAATATGAATTAAATTTCTCTAATATTTTTTTTTTTGGGTAGATCATTCATTATTGATGAGCAACGGATTTATTTATATACAATCGATTCCACTCAAATTCATGATAAATAAAGCGAGATACGTGAGATACGCGATTAAAAAGACCTCGTTGAAGTGGATAATAAAGGGCCTAGACTTATGTAGAGTTTTTGCCCAACCCTAACACCATTTCCCAATATAATTCCTAATTTAATATTGTGAAATTAATTTCCATTATAGTGCTATAATTGCCATGTCAACAAATATTTTTAGAAAGAGATAATTTATGCCACATGTTTCGAAGAGCAAAACTACATATATAATTCTTCCTCTTTGTAAATATTTGTGGACATAGTAGGAGAGCGTTAGAAAGGAAATTTTGTGCGGAATAATAAACAACGAGTCAATCTTCAACAAGATTTATTGAACTCAATTGAATACCAAGTTTATACACGATCGATAATAATAATAATTGGGATAATTTTAAAAAAATAATCTAAATTCCTTTCAATATATATATATTAAATTTCTTGAAAAAAAATTAACATTGGGCGGTCTTAAAACATTGGGTTTTTTTTTTTTTGGGAGTGGGAGTGGGAGAGGGAAAGAAAAGAAGGCTTGAATCCTTAATTTTAAGAAGACAAAATTTTTACAAAGCACAGCTTGGGATTCATTGGCCCATGAATCTCACAATCAAATTTCATATCCTAATTTTAACCCTCATTTTGACGTCAAGATTAGCCTTCCTTATATCTTGTTTGATTTTATTTTTTTTGTTATAGGGTGTTCAGATTTGTACCAATTACTCTCTCGAGCTCTCCACTATGACTTAATCTGAGTTAGAACATGTCCCTAAAGAATAAAAATGATTGACCATTGGGGGTGAAAAAGATTGAACATAGTCGCAATATATAATCTTATGCTTTTTTTTTTGGCCAAACACTATCATAAAGTTTAAACCCGAGACTTTCAGGTTCAACAACAGGATGGTGCCCATTAGGCCAACTGCTGTCCTTTTATCTTCTGCCTCTTTTCAATGGAAAATAAATTTGGGGCGTTTATGTCATCCCAATGCCGTGTTTCACAGTTGTTGACTTTCCAAGCTTTGTAAGTTTTTGTCAACCATTCTAATTTAAACGCTCTTTGGAATGTAACAGCTGAGTCTTTATGATTCCAATAATTTTATTTGAATTTAGTTTATCTATTTAATTTATTAATTAAATCCATTGTTATTGATGGGTTCGATCTAGATTAGGCCCAACTCACAAATGATGGGCTCATACCAGGCCCAAATCAAAGATGCAACCAGACTCTGTTCAAATATACAAGCTAAGCCCATTACAAGATAAAGAAAGTTCAGGTGGGTCAATCTTGCTGTCTTGAAAGACTTAATCCACAATTGACACACGAGGAAATTTCTGTGGCACGCAATCATCAGGTGCACGTCGCCACTTTTACGGAACTATCTTGCCTGTTACAAGAATGACGCCACCAAAACTACCTCGCCAGTTATGATAATAGCGCTACCTCCATCAAACTATTTCATCTGTTACGAGAATGACAATTCAATCTGTTAAGGGACGCCTATTATATTATAAGTCTCACCTTCACAAGGGAGACATCAGTTACATCTGAACACTCTACACTCACTAAACAATAAAACACTCAGATCACCGTAGCACTTCATAATGGAGGAAGTCACATTGACCAAACCACTTAATTTGTGTTTACTTATGTTGAGTCTCCTTCATAATTGCTACATTAAATACTTAACAAGTGGTACATAAACACATTTTGTTCATCATCATTTATCACTTACCACTATTTTGTCAGTGTTAGAATCTATCCATAATTCCTGTATATTAATAGATTCAATTAACATTTTAGGTTAATACCTTCTTCTACTTCCAAATAACTAAAAACATAAACCACGTTTTTCTTCATAAATTATTGTATACTACACTTTTAAAGGAAGTGCCCAAAAGAAAAATTTGAGGTAGGACTTATGAACACTTTCTGAAGATCTTGAACAAATTGAAAAACCAACAGAAAATGAGGATATTTAGGATACAGTTCATCTCTATACCACTTGAACTATCTTTTGAGATAATGTGGAGTTGAGTTTAAGGTAAGTTTACCGTCTAAAATTAGAATGTTGAATGTAATATTGTACCAAAATTTATCAATAAATAAAAATTGAAAGAATTACACTCAGACTCCCTAATATCTAAAATATTACATACAAATTCTCTGAAGTTTGTACGCGCGTAACACTTAGACCCCTACTGTAAATATATCAGTTAATAAATTATATTTAGATCTCCTGAAGTGTGTAGGTATATAATACTTAGACAAAAAATACTCCAATCAAATATAAAATATCAAATACTTTAAATTTTACAATCAAAATTCATGTTTTATTGTATCATTTATTGGAATAAAATTAAAAATAAAAATTTAATTTTTTCTTAAAAAATTATTAGTATACAATTATATTATCTATTAGAATAAAACTAAAAAATTAAATAAGAGATTTAAATTATTTATAATAGAAAATAAATTTTACATCTAAAATTCATATTCTATTGCAGACAATATAATTGTATATTAATTATGATTTTTTAAGAAAAAATTAAATTTTTATTTTTTATTTTATTTTAATAAATGATACAATAGAACATGAATTTTGGTTGTAAAACTTAAAATATTTGATATTTTATCTTTTATGGGAGTATTTTTGGTCTAAGTATAATATTTCAAACTTAAGGGGTTCAAGTATTATATACTTATAAACTTCAAGGGGTCTAAGTATAATTTATTAACTGATATATTTACAGTTGGAGTCTAAGTGTTACGCACGTACAAACCTTAGGGGGTTTGTATGTAATATTTCAAATGTCAGGGGTCTGAGTGAGTAAGTGATAAACCTCAGGAGATCTAAGTGTAATTCTTTCATAAAAATTAGATAGGACTTATACGCGGTAAAAGTAATGATTTATATAAGATCAAATTACACCTTAAAAAAATTGAATTTTCATCATAAATTTATGATAGATACAAAACAACCAACTTTATTCTGCCAAAACCTTACGAAATTAAGTGTAAGTTCATTCAATTTGTAATAATTATGCAATAAATTAAAACTGTTGGGCATTGGAACCTTACCAGAGTTAAAAAAGGAAATAGCGATGAACCTGCAGTGCAGATGAAAACACTGGGCAACGTGTTAATGGGGGCACACAGAAGGAAAATGGTATGAAAGTCGGGTTTTTTTCCACAACGACCGGAGTATTTCAAACAAAGTCTTGCTTTATCCTTTAAAGTCTTCGGTTGATTTGGAAGTTTTTATCACGACGTTCCTTATTTATTGTTTTGTGGAAATTTGTGTTGAACTCAAGGACCGCCTTTTCATTTTTCGAAATTCCTAGTACTCAAGGTTTTGTACATCCACGTCTGTTGTAGCTTGTAGTGAAATCTCTGTGATACTCTATGAATTTGCCCCTTGCTTAGTTGAATATGCCGTTTGTTGTTTGTAAGCACTTTTTTACATACCTTCTTTTTTCGGATGGACACTTTTACTAGTCTTTGTAAGCTAAGGAGTACTGAACTTAGTGAAGTCCACTGGCTCTATGGTGTTCTCATGGTTTTGAAGGCTTAGAACTTATGGTTGGTTAGTTTTTATCTAGATTAGTCTATCTAATAGGTTATGTTTGCAACTTTTCTGTTGAATAGCTCGTGTCATTACTTTGAGTTACTGCCTCCTGCCCCCAGTCTGGGGGGGTTCATCAGAGTGCTGAATTTGGTTTGTTCTTTGTGTTTATTTTGAGTTTATTTCGGGATTGAATGTCATAAGGAAGGGCTACGATGTGGTGGATTATGACTGGTATTTTCACGAGAATGACAATGAAGAGCAGCGCCCTTACTGTTCTTGTTGTTATGTATGTCTGGTTGCTGTCGAGTGGCAGTTTCAGCTATGGAGCTAAGAGTGATATTGATTGCTTGAGAGCTATGAAAGATTCTTTGGAAGACCCATTCAATTACTTAAACACTTGGGATTTCAATAACAGCACCGAAGGTTTCATCTGTAGATTTACTGGGATTGACTGCTGGCAGACTGATGAGAACAGGGTGTTGACTATCCGTCTTTCGGACATGGGACTCAAGGGTGAGTTTCCACGTGGTATTGCGAATTGCACAGCCTTAACCGGCTTAGACATGTCCAGCAACAAACTGTACGGACATATTCCATCTAAGATCTCTCAAATACTCGAGTTTGTGACATCTCTTGATCTCTCCTCCAACAATTTTTCAGGACATATCTCTTTGGAACTTGCAAATTGTTCCTCTCTGAATGTCCTTAAATTGGACAACAACCAGTTAACCGGTCATATTCCTTCACAAATTGGTCTACTTGCTCGAATCAAAACGTTCAGTGTAGCAAACAATCACCTGACTGGTCCAGTTCCAAAATTTTCCAATGCTACTATTTCAGCAGATAGTTATGCAGGCAATGCAGGACTCTGTGGGGGTCCTTTGCCTCCTTGCAAAGGTCAATCAAAGCAAAGGTTTATTGGAATCGTTGCTGGAGCAGCTGTAGGTGGGGCGACTGTTTCAACATTAGTTGTGGGTGTTTGTATCTTTTTCTTGCGTAGAGTGTCCAAAAGAGGAGGAAGATGACGATCCTGACCGAAACACCGGTGATTCTGATCATCTTGAGGAACTTATTGTTGTGTTGGTCGAGTAGTAGTAGAGTAGCATAAGCATTGAAAAGGTCGGTGAGACGTAGTATTGAGTGGCACTGTAATCAATGTGTAATCAGCTGTTATTGTTGGTATTTGATTGAGTGTTTATATCCTAAAAAAAAAAAAGTTTAGAGCTGTTGCAGTCATTGATTTTGCTCGTAGCCTCATTATACATTTGTAGCATGGTTGGATGAAATTTGGGTGAAGGATTGGACTGATTTTGATGAAACCCTTGTTCATAGGTTTGAGGAAGTCTCAGCTCTGAGAAAGGCATTGAAACAGAAGTCATGGCAATGAATTAGATTTTTTTTTTAAACCCCCTCTATAGACATGTCCATACTCATTATTAATCGGTGATACCACATCAACATTACCGACAAGATATCACCGTTACATTCAAAATTTACTGGAACTTCAGGTTTATTGATTGTTTATGGCCTTCTGATACGTACTGCTTTCTTTATACCAAAATGATACTGGCAAGGTAATCAACCATTCGGACAAATCTATTGGACTAATTGAGGCTGAATTTTGAAATTAGGAGCTAATGAACAAGTGTTGCTCTGAATAATGAATAAGCAGTCTAAACAAATGAGTGAATGATTCATAACGAAATCTAGTTGACTTACCGGATTGGTATAACACGAGACGGAGACGAGTAATCGCCGGAGAATCAAGACCATTTTTGGATGAGCGTGTGGAGTGTTGATTTTGAGGGTTTGCGGGACGCTGTCAAACCCTTGTTACAGAAGATACAGAAAGAGGAAAGCAGCAGTTGGAATAATACTTCAATGGGTAAAAAACACCGACTTTTTCAAAATTATACAGACGGCATCTAACATTTTACAAATAACAAATAGACCCCTGAGGTTTGAAATGTATTGCACGGAGACTTCTTTTGTCTCCCTTTCTTCAATGTTGCTAACAAAAAGTGATGATTTCATTCCAAAAAATTTTATTATTTTCACAATTGTCCTTCTCTAAATTTAGTACCCAAATAAATTAAAATCTTAATAAAATCAAACGAAATTTGATTTAGTACCAAAAAAATTGATATATTTTAGTATTCTAAAAAATTGAATCAATGTATTTTAATATTAATTTGACAATTATAAAATTTAATTTAATATTAATTCAAAAATTTTGAAGATAAATTAAAAAAATGTCAATTTGATAAAATTATATATTAATTTATAATTTAAGGTTCATTTCGTATTGAATATTATTTTGTGTTGATTAAACCAACACAAAATTAATCTTAAATTATAATTTTTTTTTTGTATATAAACTTAAAAAGTTATATTTTAACCCATAAAACTTAAATACAAATTTTTTTGTAGCATAACGTCTTCTCTTTTACTATATCACTTCATAAACTTTTTTTTGATCAAGATTCAACCATACATACTTAAATCAAAACCAATCATCACTCTCATTTTCTTTTTAAAAAGAACCGCTCATCTACACTTGACAAACTCAAAAACTTCTAATTCACGTAAAAATATTTGAAAGTAAATTAAAAAGTTGACAAAAAATTTAAAAACTTGATAGTTTAAAATATTTTAAAAAATTTAGTACCAAAAAAATTGATAATATTGTCAAAAATATAATCTAAGGTCAATTTCGTGTTGATTTGATCAATAATAAATAGTATTCAACAAGATATGAACTTCAGATTATAAAATAATATTTAATTTTATCAAATTGATATTTAATTTTGTCGAATTAATTTCAAATTAAGTTTTATTGTTATCAAATTAATATTAAAACTTATTTAATCAATTTTGTGGGTACAAAATTAAATTTTGTTTGATTTTATTAAATTTTTAATTTAATTTTAATTTTTTTTTAGTACTAAATTTGAAGAAAGGTAATTGTAAAAATAATAAAAAAATTAGGGATAAAATCGCCACTATCTGTTACTAACATTGAGCGAAGGGAAGGGAAGGGAAGGGAAGGGAGATGGAGGGTCTCCATGTAATGAGTTTCAAATTTCAAAAGGTCTTTGTGTTATTTGTAAAATGTATCCTTATAATATTATCAAAACTGGGGGGTGCCCGTGTTTTTTACCCTAATTCAATTTATCGCAGTGTTAAGACAGAAAGACACCTAACACACACACACACACACACATAGTCTCTTGGCGCACTCTTGTTTTTGCTATTACCGCCAAATATAGTTTGGATATGTAAAGGAGAAAATATTCCCGACGTCATCGGTAAATATGTAGTATTATTTCTGGAGTAATATTCCCTACGTGTGAACTTAGCTTAGTTTTTTATATTCCACGCTTTATTGATTCAGCTTGCCACGTATTCTGATTCCCTCATTTGGTCAAATGGCACCCCCCAAAGGTTTTTTTTATTCTTTCTATATGTCCCCTAGTGTTGACGGAATTTACAATTTATAGTCGTCTCCTAACAGATTGAGGCAACTTATCAGTAACTAAAAGACTACTTTGGTGGAACTGATATCATATTTTCAACGGATGAGACAGTGATGACACTCTCTATAAGATCCGGTCAAAGAATGACGTGGTGGTTGACTCTTTCTAAGGCGTGGATGAGACTCTTGGAATAACCATGTTTTCTTCTTTTGTAATATAAATTTTTGAACCCTGATGAGATTGAACCTCTTTTGGACTGGACCTTATTAGATATTGTCTAGTTGGACTCTTCGTCCAGACTAGACTTATAACATGAGTTGGGTCTGGCCCATCAGAGTTTTTGTCCGATCTAACACCATTTTCCAATATAATTTCTAGTTTAATATTATGAAATTAATTTCCATTCTAATGCTATAGTTGCCATGTCAACAAGTATATTTAGAAAGAGATAATTTAGAACTCCTCTCGCACTAAACACCAATGTCTCTCTATGACACTTCCCACATGTTTCGAAGAGCCAAAGTAGTAAAATACACAATCATTGAATAGATAGTGAATCTCATTAAATGTTAAGATCCACAGTAAAATCAATGATTATAATTATCAAATTTTAAGTTTAATTTTTAAGTCCATATAGCATTATTCAAAATACATATATTATTCTTAGTCTTCCTAAATATTTGTGGACACAGGAGAGCGTTAGCAAGGAAATTAACTTTTTAAAAATAATTGAATTTCCAGCAAAAACTCAAGATACACTATAATGGTATTACAAATTTGAGGGAAAATTTTATCCACACTCATTATAATTAGCTCTAAATTCAATAATAACTTTCGATTACAAATATTTACTGCATTCTCTTTTGGTTTATACTGTCGAATCATAGACACCCCCTAACAATAGCTTTCGTCTCTCACAATAGATAAAGTGTACGATTTGACTATCTATTCTTTTAAAATATCAAAATTACCCTTTGTTATGTTAATAGACTAAAATGCCTTGAATCGACACTTTATAAATTTCAATTTTTTTATTTTTTTGATAAGTAGGATGATATTTTTATATTTAATGAAATTATTTTTTACACAAAGTAAAATCATTCAACATAATAAGGTAAAAAAGGCATAAAAACAAAATAAAAATTAATTTTACATTTTACCAAAAAATGGTTAATTATAGTCAATGAATTATTATTATTTTAAAGCATTGTATGATTATTTAGTCATCATATTATCACTCATTTGATTACATAATCGATTTTTTTATAATTTTTATAGCTAAAAATGATTTGTTTACAATAAAAATTACAAACAATAAAGTCAATGTCGAAGTCCCACCCATTTTTAACTCTTCTGCTATTGTCTATCCTCCACAACGTCATTTGACTACTCTTCACATATCACTCGTCACATTTAAAATTTAAATATTATTCTTTCTGTTCATAATTATCTGTCGTTTTACATAATTTTTTTTGTTCTATAATATCTGTCGTTTAATGAAACCAAAGTATGATTAATATTTTTTTTTTCAAATTTACTCTTAACTTTTCAATGTATTAGATTAGGTGAATGTTAAGTGTCTTTCATATTTCTTTCTTTCCTAATACATATTCAATAAGGGTATTTTAGTCTTATGCAATTATTTTTTACTCATATTAGAGCTATTTAATAGCTTCCTTAATCCCTGTGCAAAAACCTTAAACGACAGATATTTAAGAACGGAGGGAGTACTTGATAAAATTTAATGTTAATTGAATAAATTTAGCCTTAACTTGATAAATTTAAATATTAATTTAGTGTTAATTTAATAAAATTAAATATTAGTTTAGTATTAATTTGATAAAATTTAATATTAATTAGATAAATTTAAATATTATTTTGATGAAATTGAATGTTAATTTGATATTAAATTAAAGAAATGACATTAATTTGCTAAGGTTAAATGTTAAATTATCGGAATTTAATATTCTATTTAATATCATTAAATTTTAATGTTGATTTGATAAAATTAAATAATAATTTATTGTTAAATTAAAGAAATAATATTAATTTGATTAAATTAAATATTAATTTTGTATTGATCAGATGATATCGAATGTTAATTTAGTTTAAGGATAAAGTTACGCTACACAAATTATTGCCCAAATCTTGTATCCCAAGTAATGTGTCAAAATTTCATACATTGAATATTTTGTGAAATTAGTGGACCCCACTAATCCAACCACCTGCATTGATTTGGAATACAAAATTTAGACAATAATTTGGTCAGTATAGCATTGCTTTTAATTTAAATGAAAGAAAGGTATTACTTTAAAAAAATTAAATATTAAATTGATGAACCTGAAAGTTAATATAATATAACTAAAAAAAAGTAGTGTGAAATATTAGAATTATGAATGGAGTCGTTGAAGTTAGGTCTATTTACATGGGGCATGAATGAAATTTATTTTATAAAATACCAATGGTATTTCTGTAAAACAATGCTCGCTGTTAACTCTATGAGCTGACAATAATTGATGGGGATGAAATTTTAGAATAAAAAAGAGGTCTCATTGAATTTAGAGCTACCTAGAGATGAAATTTTCCCTAAATTTAAAGGAGATTTATTGTACTCACTTGAATACCGCCTTTATACACCATCAACAACAATAATAATTGTGATAATTTAGAAAAAAAAATGGTCTATATCCTTCTAATAATTTTTTTTGTCAATTTCCTGAAAAAAAAAATAAAAAAATAGCATTGAGTGGATCTTGAAACATTGGGGCTTCGTTGGCCCATGAATCTCACAATCAAAATTCATTTCCTAATTTTGGCCCACATTTTGATGGCAAGATTAGCTTTCCTTACATTTTGTTTTTGTTTGATTTTAATTTTGATTTTTTTTGTTATTAAGTATTTAAATTTATACCGACTATTAATTCAAGTTCAACAATTTTTATCGTCACTTGAGTTGAATTAGAACATGTATTTGAAAAATAAATGTCACCGGCTCTTAAAGAGTGTAAAAAAGAATTGATCATAGAGACAAGATATAATCTTATGCTGCTTCTTTTTTGGTCGGACACTATTATAAAGAAGAAAAATGCTAAAGTTCAAACCTAAGATCTCAAAGTTCAATAGCGGGGTAGTGGTCATTAATCCAACCGTTAACCTTTTATTTTATGCCTCTTTTCAATTGAAAATAAATTTGGGGCGTTTATTTCATCCCAATGCCGTGCTTCACCATCTAGAGTTGTTGACTTTCCGAGCTTTCTAATTTTTTGTCAACCATTCTAATTAAATGCTCTTTGAAATGTAACAGCTGAGTCTTTATGATTCCAATAATTTTATTTGAATTTAGTTATCTATCTAATTTATTAATCAAATTCATTGCTGTCATTATAAAAAAAAAAACTTCATTGTTGTCACTTGCCACTATTTTGTCAGTGTTTAGAATCTATTCATAATACCTGAATATTAATAGATTAAATTAGTAAATTGGGTTAATAGCACTTTAATTATGTTCGCTTTATCAATTTGATTTTCATTGTATTAATTTAGTTTTTAAAATTTTAATGCGTGTCACTTTAGTCTTTAATCAGACAATTTGTTAAATTTTTTTGACAAAAGTGACTACATATAAATTCTTTTAGTCGGTATCATGTGCTCAACACGTGATCATTTCATAACAAACTTAAGAGTTTGCCTATGTAGGAAACATTTAAATACAAATTGAATATTTTTGAAGGACCAAATTGATAAAATTGATACTTTAAGGAGTAAATTGAAAAAATTTACATATTTTAAGGATCAAAAAAACTATTAACCTACTTTCTTCTACATCCAAATAACTAAAAACAATAAAACATAAGCCACATTTTTCTTCATGAATTTTGGTAAACTATACTTTATAGCAAGTGCCCAAAAGAAAAATAAGATGTAGGACTTGTGATCACTTTCTAAAGATCTTGAACAAATTGAAAAACCAAGAGAAAACAAGGAAAAAAGTAACATAGGTGTTGAGTTTAAGGTAAGTTCACCCATTAAAACTAGAATATTGAATGTGGTACTATACCAAAATTCCATAAGATTCAATTACATCTTAAAAAAATTTGAATGCATCATAAAAATATGGTAGATCCAACGATCAGGAATGTTCAGATCAATTTATCCTTAATCCCAAATAATTCAAAATATTTGAATTTATAACTTGTTCTCTCATAACTTAATTCCAAATAATCCGCAACATCTAAATGTATAAATCGTCCTTCTCATGGATTTATTCGGCCAGGACCTTACGAAATCAACTTTAATTTGTCATAATTTTCAAGAAATAAAAACTGTTGGGCATTGGAATTTGGAACCTTACCAGAGTTAAAAAGGAAATAGCGATGAATCTGCAGATGAAAACACAGGGCAAAGTGTGAGTGGGGGGGACACAAGGAAAATGGTACGAAAGGTTTTTTTCCACAACGAAAAGCAAGTCAAGTCGTCGGTCGTTGCGCTCTTTTGCAGTCCAGTCTTCCTTGAGGAGAGCTTGAAGAAAAGCAGGGCCGATTACTTCTTTGACTGGACCTGCTATAGTCCTTCTCCTCTCCTATGGTACTCCTCACAAACGTAGCCGGCTCTCAATTCTCAATTGAATTGAACCCAAAGCTTCAAATTCAAATACACCCAGTAAATCTCTCTCTCTCTCTCTCTGTGTTGTTATTGGCTGTCACTGAATTTCATAACTACTTTATTGTTAAGTGAAAGTTTATTGCTTGCCTTTTGAATATTTCAAACAAAGACGTGCTTTATCCTTTAAAGTCTTCGGTTGATTTGGAAGTTTTTATCACGAAGTTCCTTATTTATTGTGTTGGGGAAATAGACATGTTTTGTGTTGAACTCAAGAACCGTCTCTCGTGGGTTCCTTGATTTTTTGGGATTAGGGTTGTGATTTTTTCAGGTAAGGTCTTTGATTTTTCTTTTTTTTGCAAGTTCCATTTTTTGGGTCTTACAAAAATGTGGTTATGGTGATGAAATATTATTGTCTAAATTCAATTTGGGTCTTTGTGTTGAAGATTCAGGTTTTAGGATGTTGTGTGTATTGCAGTTATTATTACTTTGCTGTGTTTTTTGTTTTTTATTTTATTTTCCGAAATTCCTAGTACTCAAGGTTTGTTCATCCATGTCTGTTGTAGCTTGTAGTGAAATCTCTATGATACTTTATGAATTTGCCCCTTGCTTAGTTGAATATGCCGTTTGTTGTTTGTAAGCACTTTTTTACTTACCTTCTTTTTTTAGATGGACACTTTTACTAGTCTTTGTAAACTATGGAGTACTGAACTTAGTAGAGTCCACTGGCTCTTTGGTGTTCTCATGGTTTTGAAGGCTTGGAACTTATGTTTAGTTTTTATCCAGATTAGTCTATCTAACAGGTTATGTTTGCAACTTTTCTGTTGAATAGCTCGTGTCATTACTTTGTGTTACTGTCTCCTGCCCCCAGTCCGGGGTGTTTCATCAGAGTGCTGAATTTGGTTTGTTCTTTGTGTTGATTTTGAGTTTATTTCAGGATTGAATGTCGTAAGGACGGGCTAAGGTGTGGTGGATTCATATTTAAATCTCTAATATGTAGCAAACAGCAATCTTAGTTGTGTCCTATTTGCTAGTTCAATTGGATTATGACTGGTCTTTTTATGAGAATGACAATGAATAGCAGCGCCCATACTGTTCTTATTGTTGTGTATGTCTGGTTGCTGTCGAGTGGCACTTTCAGCTATGGAGATAAGAGGGATATTGATTGCTTGAGAGCTATAAAAGATTCGTTGGAGGACCCATTAAATTACTTAAGCTCTTGGGATTTCAAAAACAGCACCGAAGGTTTCATCTGTGGATTTATTGGGATTGACTGCTGGCATCCTGATGAGAACAGGGTGTTGAATATCCGTCTTTCGGACATGGGACTCAAGGGTGAGTTTCCACAAGGTATTGCGAATTGCACATCCTTAACTGGCGTAGACATGTCCAGCAACAAACTGTACGGACCTATTCCATCTAACATCTCTCAAATACTCCAGTTTGTGACATCTCTTGATCTCTCCTCCAACAATTTGTCAGGAGATATCCCTTTGGACCTTGCAAATTGTTCCTATCTGAATGTCCTTAAATTGGACAACAACCAGTTGAGTGGTCAGATTCCTGCACAAATTGGCCTGCTTGGTCGAATCAAAACTTTCAGTGTTTCAAACAATCGCCTGACTGGTCCAGTTCCAACATTTTCCAATGCTACTATTTCAGCAGATAGCTATGCAGGCAATGCAGGACTCTGTGGGAGTCCTTTGCCTGCTTGCAAGGGACCCCCAAAGAAAAGCAACACTGGAAGCATTGCTGGGGCAGCTATGGGTTAAGACAGAAAGACACCTAACACACACACACACACACACGCATAGTCTCTTGGCGCACTCTTGTTTTTGCTATTACCGCCAAATATAGTTTGGATATGTAAAGGAGAAAATATTCCCGACGTCATCGGTAAATATGTAGTATTATTTCTGGAGTAATATTCCCTACGTGTGAACTTAGCTTAGTTTTTTATATTCCACGCTTTATTGATTCAGCTTGCCACGTATTCTGATTCCCTCATTTGGTCAAATGGCACCCCCCAAAGGTTTTTTTTATTCTTTCTATATGTCCCCTAGTGTTGACGGAATTTACAATTTATAGTCGTCTCCTAACAGATTGAGGCAACTTATCAGTAACTAAAAGACTACTTTGGTGGAACTGATATCATATTTTCAACGGATGAGACAGTGATGACACTCTCTATAAGATCCGGTCAAAGAATGACGTGGTGGTTGACTCTTTCTAAGGCGTGGATGAGACTCTTGGAATAACCATGTTTTCTTCTTTTGTAATATAATTTTTTGAACCCTGATGAGATTGAACCTCTTTTGGACTGGACCTTATTAGATATTGTCTAGTTGGACTCTTCGTCCAGACTAGACTTATAACATGAGTTGGGTCTGGCCCATCAGAGTTTTTGTCCGATCTAACACCATTTTTCAATATAATTTCTAGTTTAATATTATGAAATTAATTTCCATTCTAATGCTATAGTTGCCATGTCAACAAGTATATTTAGAAAGAGATAATTTAGAACTCCTCTCGCACTAAACACCAATGTCTCTCTATGACACTTCCCACATGTTTCGAAGAGCCAAAGTAGTAAAATCACAATCATTGAATAGGTAGTGAATCTCAATAAATGTTAAGATCCACAGTGAAATCAATGATTATAATTATCAAATTTTAAGTTTAATTTTTAAGTCCATATAGCATTATTCAAAATACATATATTATTCTTAGTCTTCCTAAATATTTGTGGACACAGGAGAACGTTAGCAAGGAAATTAACTTTTTAAAAATAATTGAATTTCCAGCAAAAACTCAAGATACACTATAATGGTATTACAAATTTAAGGGAAAATTTTATCCACACTCATTATAATTAGCTCTAAATTCAATAATAGCTTTCGATTACGAAACTTTACTGCATTCTCTTTTGGTTTATACTGTCGAATCATAGACACCCCCTAACAATAGCTTTCGTCTCTCACAATAGATAAAGTGTACGATTTGACTATCTATTCTTTTAAAATACCAAAATTACCCTTTGTTATGTTAATAGACTAAAATGCCTTGAATCGACACTTTATAAACTTCAATTTTTTTATTTTTTTGATAAGTAGGATGATATTTTTATATTTAATGAAATTATTTTTTACACAAAGTAAAATCATTCAACATAATAAGGTAAAAAAGGCATAAAAACAAAATAAAAATTAATTTTACATTTTACCAAAAAATGGTTAATTATAGTCAATGAATTATTATTATTTTAAAGCATTGTATGATTATTTAGTCATCATATTATCACTCATTTGATTACATAATCGATTTTTTTATAATTTTTATAGCTAAAAATGATTTGTTTACAATAAAAATTACAAACAATAAAGTCAATGTCGAAGTCCCACCCATTTTTAACTCTTCTGCTATTGTCTATCCTCCACAACGTCATTTGACTACTCTTCACATATCACTCGTCACATTAAAAATTTAAATATTATTCTTTCTGTTCATAATTATCTGTCGTTTTACATAATTTTTTTTTGTTCTATAATATCTGTCGTTTAATAAAACCAAAGTATGATTAATATTTTTTTTTTCAAATTTACTCTTAACTTTCAATGTATTAGATTAGGTGAATGTTAAGTGTCTTTCATATTTCTTTCTTTCCTAATACATATTCAATAAGGGTATTTTAGTATTATGCAATTATTTTTTACTCATATTAGAGCTATTTAATAACTTCCTTAATTCCTGTGCAAAAACCTTAAACGACAGATATTTAAGAACGGAGGGAGTACTTGATAAAATTTAATGTTAATTGAATAAATTTAGCCTTAACTTGATAAATTTAAATATTAATTTAGTGTTAATTTAATAAAATTAAATATTAGTTTAGTATTAATTTGATAAAATTTAATATTAATTAGATAAATTTAAATATTATTTTGATGAAATTGAATGTTAATTTGATATTAAATTAAAGAAATGACATTAATTTGCTAAGGTTAAATGTTAAATTATCGGAATTTAATATTCTATTTAATATCATTAAATTTTAATGTTGATTTGATGTTGATTTGATAAAATTAAATAATAATTTATTGTTAAATTAAAGAAATAATATTAATTTGATTAAATTAAATATTAATTTTGTATTGATCAGATGATATCGAATGTTAATTTAGTTTAAGGATAAAGTTACGCTACACAAATTATTGCCCAAATCTTGTATCCCAAGTAATGTGTCAAAATTTCATACATTGAATATTTTGTGAAATTAGTGGACCCCACTAATCCAACCACCTGCATTGATTTGGAATACAAAATTTAGACAATAATTTGGTCAGTATAGCATTGCTTTTAATTTAAATGAAAGAAAGGTATTACTTTAAAAAAATTAAATATTAAATTGATGAACCTGAAAGTTAATATAATATAACTAAAAAAAAGTAGTGTGAAATATTAGAATTATGAATGGAGTCGTTGAAGTTAGGTCTATTTACATGGGGCATGAATGAAATTTATTTTATAAAATACCAATGGTATTTCTGTAAAACAATGCTCGCTGTTAACTCTATGAGCTGACAATAATTGATGGGGATGAAATTTTAGAATAAAAAAGAGGTCTCATTGAATTTAGAGCTACCTAGAGATGAAATTTTCCCTAAATTTAAAGGAGATTTATTGTACTCACTTGAATACCGCCTTTATACACCATCAACAACAATAATAATTGTGATAATTTAGAAAAAAAAATGGTCTATATCCTTCTAATAATTTTTTTTGTCAATTTCCTGAAAAAAAAATAAAAAAATAGCATTGAGTGGATCTTGAAACATTGGGGCTTCGTTGGCCCATGAATCTCACAATCAAAATTCATTTCCTAATTTTGGCCCACATTTTGATGGCAAGATTAGCTTTCCTTACATTTTGTTTTTGTTTGATTTTAATTTTGATTTTTTTTGTTATTAAGTATTTAAATTTATACCGACTATTAATTCAAGTTCAACAATTTTTATCGTCACTTGAGTTGAATTAGAACATGTATTTGAAAAATAAATGTCACCGGCTCTTAAAGAGTGTAAAAAAGAATTGATCATAGAGACAAGATATAATCTTATGCTGCTTCTTTTTTGGTCGGACACTATTATAAAGAAGAAAAATGCTAAAGTTCAAACCTAAGATCTCAAAGTTCAATAGCGGGGTAGTGGTCATTAATCCAACCGTTAACCTTTTATTTTATGCCTCTTTTCAATTGAAAATAAATTTGGGGCGTTTATTTCATCCCAATGCCGTGCTTCACCATCTAGAGTTGTTGACTTTCCGAGCTTTCTAATTTTTTGTCAACCATTCTAATTAAATGCTCTTTGAAATGTAACAGCTGAGTCTTTATGATTCCAATAATTTTATTTGAATTTAGTTATCTATCTAATTTATTAATCAAATTCATTGCTGTCATTATAAAAAAAAAAACTTCATTGTTGTCACTTGCCACTATTTTGTCAGTGTTTAGAATCTATTCATAATACCTGAATATTAATAGATTAAATTAGTAAATTGGGTTAATAGCACTTTAATTATGTTCGCTTTATCAATTTGATTTTCATTGTATTAATTTAGTTTTTAAAATTTTAATGCGTGTCACTTTAGTCTTTAATCAGACAATTTGTTAAATTTTTTTGACAAAAGTGACTACATATAAATTCTTTTAGTCGGTATCATGTGCTCAACACGTGATCATTTCATAACAAACTTAAGAGTTTGCCTATGTAGGAAACATTTAAATACAAATTGAATATTTTTGAAGGACCAAATTGATAAAATTGATACTTTAAGGAGTAAATTGAAAAAATTTACATATTTTAAGGATCAAAAAAACTATTAACCTACTTTCTTCTACATCCAAATAACTAAAAACAATAAAACATAAGCCACATTTTTCTTCATGAATTTTGGTAAACTATACTTTATAGCAAGTGCCCAAAAGAAAAATAAGATGTAGGACTTGTGATCACTTTCTAAAGATCTTGAACAAATTGAAAAACCAAGAGAAAACAAGGAAAAAAGTAACATAGGTGTTGAGTTTAAGGTAAGTTCACCCATTAAAACTAGAATATTGAATGTGGTACTATACCAAAATTTCATAAGATTCAATTACATCTTAAAAAAATTTGAATGCATCATAAAAATATGATAGATCCAACGATCAGGAATGTTCAGATCAATTTATTCTTAATCCCAAATAATTCAAAATATTTGAAATTACAACTTGTTCTCTCATAACTTAATTCCAAATAATCCACAACATCTAAATGTATAAATCGTCCTTCTCATGGATTTATTCGGCCAGGACCTTACGAAATCAACTTTAATTTGTCATAATTTTCAAGAAATAAAAACTGTTGGGCATTGGAATTTGGAACCTTACCAGAGTTAAAAAGGAAATAGCGATGAATCTGCAGATGAAAACACAGGGCAAAGTGTGAGTGGGGGGGACACAAGGAAAATGGTACGAAAGGTTTTTTTCCACAACGAAAAGCAAGTCAAGTCGTTGGTCGTTGCGCTCTTTTGCAGTCCAGTCTTCCTTGAGGAGAGCTTGAAGAAAAGCAGGGCCGATTACTTCTTTGACTGGACCTGCTATAGTCCTTCTCCTCTCCTATGGTACTCCTCACAAACGTAGCCGGCTCTCAATTCTCAATTGAATTGAACCCAAAGCTTCAAATTCAAATACACCCAGTAAATCTCTCTCTCTCTCTCTCTCTGTGTTGTTATTGGCTGTCACTGAATTTCATAACTACTTTATTGTTAAGTGAAAGTTTATTGCTTGCCTTTTGAATATTTCAAACAAAGACGTGCTTTATCCTTTAAAGTCTTCGGTTGATTTGGAAGTTTTTATCACGAAGTTCCTTATTTATTGTGTTGGGGAAATAGACATGTTTTGTGTTGAACTCAAGAACCGTCTCTCGTGGGTTCCTTGATTTTTTGGGATTAGGGTTGTGATTTTTTCAGGTAAGGTCTTTGATTTTTCTTTTTTTTGCAAGTTCCATTTTTTGGGTCTTACAAAAATGTGGTTATGGTGATGAAATATTATTGTCTAAATTCAATTTGGGTCTTTGTGTTGAAGATTCAGGTTTTAGGATGTTGTGTGTATTGCAGTTATTATTACTTTGCTGTGTTTTTTGTTTTTTATTTTATTTTCCGAAATTCCTAGTACTCAAGGTTTGTTCATCCATGTCTGTTGTAGCTTGTAGTGAAATCTCTATGATACTTTATGAATTTGCCCCTTGCTTAGTTGAATATGCCGTTTGTTGTTTGTAAGCACTTTTTTACTTACCTTCTTTTTTTAGATGGACACTTTTACTAGTCTTTGTAAACTATGGAGTACTGAACTTAGTAGAGTCCACTGGCTCTTTGGTGTTCTCATGGTTTTGAAGGCTTGGAACTTATGTTTAGTTTTTATCTAGATTAGTCTATCTAACAGGTTATGTTTGCAACTTTTCTGTTGAATAGCTCGTGTCATTACTTTGTGTTACTGTCTCCTGCCCCCAGTCCGGGGTGTTTCATCAGAGTGCTGAATTTGGTTTGTTCTTTGTGTTGATTTTGAGTTTATTTCAGGATTGAAAGTCGTAAGGAAGGGCTAAGGTGTGGTGGATTCATATTTAAATCTCTAATATGTAGCAAACAGCAATCTTAGTTGTGTCCTATTTGCTAGTTCAATTGGATTATGACTGGTCTTTTTATGAGAATGACAATGAATAGCAGCGCCCATACTGTTCTTATTGTTATGTATGTCTGGTTGCTGTCGAGTGGCACTTTCAGCTATGGAGATAAGAGGGATATTGATTGCTTGAGAGCTATAAAAGATTCGTTGGAGGACCCATTAAATTACTTAAACTCTTGGGATTTCAAAAACAGCACCGAAGGTTTCATCTGTGGATTTATTGGGATTGACTGCTGGCATCCTGATGAGAACAGGGTGTTGAATATCCGTCTTTCGGACATGGGACTCAAGGGTGAGTTTCCACAAGGTATTGCGAATTGCACATCCTTAACTGGCGTAGACATGTCCAGCAACAAACTGTACGGACCTATTCCATCTAACATCTCTCAAATACTCCAGTTTGTGACATCTCTTGATCTCTCCTCCAACAATTTGTCAGGAGATATCCCTTTGGACCTTGCAAATTGTTCCTATCTGAATGTCCTTAAATTGGACAACAACCAGTTGAGTGGTCAGATTCCTGCACAAATTGGCCTGCTTGGTCGAATCAAAACTTTCAGTGTTTCAAACAATCGCCTGACTGGTCCAGTTCCAACATTTTCCAATGCTACTATTTCAGCAGATAGCTATGCAGGCAATGCAGGACTCTGTGGGAGTCCTTTGCCTATTTGCAAGGGACCCCCAAAGAAAAGCAACACTGGAATCATTGCTGGGGCAGCTATAGGTGGGGTGACTCTTTCAGCATTAGTTGTGGGCGCTGGTATGTTCTTCTTCTTGCGTAGAGTGTCCAAAATGAAGAAGGATGACGATCCTGACGGAAACAAATGGGCAAAGAGTATTAAGGGAGCCAAAGGCATCAAGGCAAGATGAATTAATCCGTTGCTTTTGTTCTCAGTAAAGTTCATAAATTTTTTGCCTGAGATTTTTATTACTGCATTATTTTCCCTACTTCATATTAAAAGTATTGGTATTTTCAGCTTTCCACGTTCGAGAAGTCAATTTCGAAAATGAGACTAAGTGATCTCTTGAAGGTTACTAGCAACTTTAGCAAAGACAATATCATTGGGTCAGGAAGAACAGGTACTATGTACAAGGCAGTACTTGAAGATGGCACGTCCCTTATGGTGAAGAGGTTGCAGGACACTCAACACTCAGAGAAAGAGTTTGTGTCTGAGATGGCTACTTTGGGGAATGTGAAGCACCGTAACTTGGTTCCTCTTTTGGGTTTTTGCACTACCAAGAAGGAGAGGCTTTTGGTCTATAAGTACATGCCAAATGGTACCCTTCATGATAAGCTACATCTTGTAAGTGACGATGGAAAAAATATGGAGTGGCCTTTGCGGCTAAAAATTGGGATTAGGGCAGCCAAAGGGTTTGCATGGCTCCACCATAATTGCAATCCACGCATCATCCACCGAAACATAAGTTCCAAGTGCATCTTATTGGATCTGGATTTTGAGCCAAAAATATCTGATTTTGGACTTGCAAGGCTCATGAACCCAGTTGACACTCATTTGAGTACTTTTGTAAATGGGGAGTTTGGAGATCTGGGTTATGTCGCTCCCGAGTATGCACGAACTCTTTTGGCCACTCCAAAGGGGGATGTCTACAGTTTTGGAGTAGTGCTTCTTGAGTTGGTAAGCAGTGAGAGACCTACCCATGTGGCTAAAGCCCCCGAAAGCTTTAAGGGAAATCTGGTGGAATGGATCACACAGCTCTCTAGCAATTCTAAGCTACAAGATGCTTTTGACGAATCTTTGGTTGGGAAGGGTGATGATGGTGAGCTTTTCCAGGTTCTTAAAGTTGCATGTAGTTGTGTACTGCCAACACCCAAGGAGAGGCCTACTATGTTTGAGGTATACCAGCTTCTGAGAGCTATTGGGGAGCGGTACCACTTGACTACTGATGATGAAATATTGATGCCGTCAGACACTGGTGATTCTGGTCATCTTGAGGAACTTATTGTTGCTCGAGAAGTAGTATAGTGTTGCTCAAGTAGTAGAGTAGCATTGAAAAGGTACAAGTGAGATGTAGTATTGAGGGGCACTGTAATCAGTGTGCAATCAGCTGTTGTTGTTGGTATTTGAATGACTGTTTATATCCTAAAAAAGGTTCAGTGCTTCAGTCATTGATTTTGCTCGTAGCCTCATTGTACATTTGAAGCCTTCGCCATATTTGAACTCAACAACTCCAGGTTAATTGCTTGTTTATGGCCGCCTGACATGTACAGCTTTCTTTGTTCCCGTTTTTAAAACTATATACCAGAGTGTTTTGTTGGATCGTCGTGAAAATGTAAGCGTTTTTATGTGTGCATGTATAATGTCGCTGGCTAGGTAATCAACCATTAGACGTTGTTGCGGTCAAGCAAAACCTACTTTCTTTCTCCTATTATTTGGTCTGGTTTGTATGTTAAGACATCACGAACTGCTGTTACTAGTCACGAATTGTAATGATGACATGACATACTACGATCAAGCACAGAAGCAACTACCCTTTGGGTTGGCAATATGGAACTCCTCTCAACAGCTCCATGGAGAAGAAATATTCTTACATTCGGTGCTGTTGATGTCTCTAGTCTTGTGAAAATCCTTCTTAAGATTGACCTCAAAACGGGATGGATAGAAAATCTGCAATCATCTCAACAAAACGGTCTTCCAAAAGGGCACTTTGGGGCCTCTAACCTGTGTCTAACTGCACAGTTTGTCTTTGATTTCCGATTGCTGAACATGAAGGTAAATGCAACTACTGGATTTTGTGACTTCCCCAGTGATGGATCCTTTCAATCCTTCACCCACCTGCAACCAGATTAGATGCTGGCATGGTATTACTTTGAGGCTATGGAACAGTATAAGAGATTCTTTATAAGATGCAAATTTTTAGAAATAATTATTTTTAATCGGTAAAGTCAAGTTTAGGTAAGTACTCCAACTTTATTCTAAAAATGTTAAGGTTATGGTCAAGGTTAAAGCCGGGGTCGGAGTCGAGTTGGGATAAAGGGGTGACAATAGTGAGTGTTAGTGGCGATAAAAATGATAGAATTGAAACGTTATTGCATTACGAAAAAAAAAGTTAAATTGGTTTGAACATCTATAACTATTAAACGCAAAAAAAAATATATGAATTCCTAAGTTAGTAAAAGGCTATGGTAGGGTAGGAGCATTCAGTCAGCAAGCTTTTGACTTGACCAAGAAGTCTATTGTTCTCCGAATCGAACGGCGTTTTAACAGAAAGAGTTCTTACGCAATTCATGCCTTTCTGTTTTTTCGGCTTTGATTTTAATGCTTTTACCAACCTGAAAAGCAACTACCTTTTTTTTCTAATTGATACCAATTCTTTGATCATTCCACAAAACCATCTTTGATTTCCAAACCCCTCAAGTTCCTCAAAGCATTACCTTCTGTTTCAGAAACCCATTTGAAAAAAATTCCTAAAATTTGCTTAAAGTTCTTCAATGGATTCTTCGAATTCGTATCTCTCTAATACAATCCCAATTGTTTCCACTTTTACATCCCCTTTTGAGAACTCCCCTCGAGCCGACGGTTCAAATTCCTCAGTCCGAAAGCCTCTTAGCTTGTGGCCTGGAATGTATCATTCACCTGTGACAAATGCTTTGTGGGAAGCGAGGGCTAAAATCTTTGAAAGACTTCTTGACCCATCAATTGATCATCCTCCACAAAACGAATTGCTCACGAAAACTCCCTCACAAAGCCGGACTACGATTCTTTATAACTTTTCGACTGATTATATACTGAGAGAACAGTATAGAGATCCGTGGCATGAGGTTAGAATTGGGAAATTGCTTGAAGATCTCGATGCTCTTGCTGGTACCATTTCAGTCAAGGTACAAACTGTTTGATAATCTACACCAGTGTTGTTTTGGTCAATTCCTTGGTATTTCTTTGCATTTTATTAGTTTGGCTGCTACATTTGGGTTATTTTGATCAATTCATTGTATTTATTTTCATTTTGTCATGCTTGAATATTTGGGTAGTGCTTGCAATTTTGATTGTCTGAAATGGGTTGTGGAAGGTAGCTAAGAATTTTGATGCATGTTTGTCTATTCCTTTGTGCCCACACATGCCACTGTGAGTGATGATGGTCGCTTTTGATAGTATGCTCTCAGAAATGCAGAGCTAAGGTTTTTTAGTTAGCAACATTTCTTTCCCTGAAATGCAGGACTAGGGTTTTTGTAGTTAGCAATATTTCTTTCCCCGAATTTGGTTCTATTTTTCTCAATGTGACTCACGACCCAGATGATGTGTGACCTACCCTTGATCAGCTCATAATCGTCGTTTCAAATTTCAGATTTTAATAGGCAACTTTTTTGTGGATCCTAGTCAACCTTACTTTTGATCATATATAGACCTTCGCTTCTATGTGATATACAGATCTAAATTCACTATGTTGAAGGATTCACTACGAGTCCAACTTTGGTTTCTTGTGCTTGCGAATACTAAGCAATGATGTGTTCCCATTCCACTAACCATATTACTTGATAATGCCTATTGCATATGTCGCCTCGTTTTGGATATTTGCATTTTTAAATCAGAAACTCAACTAAACTCTTACATTTATTTTACTGTATATACCAGTGATTTATATTCTTCTCATCTTCTTGCAGCAAATAATGTTGTTGAATTGCTAGCTTATGCAATCTGAAATTTATTTGTCACACGTGTAACCTTTCATACTCCCTTGTCTTTGCATTGCCTTCAGTAATTTATCTTTTTTGCTTGTGGATTAGCACTGCTCTAATGATGACAGCATGCCGAGGCAGCTCTTGCTTGTCACTGCTTCTGTTGACAAGATGGTGCTGAAGAAGCCAATCAGTGTTGACGTTGATCTGAAAATTACCGGTGCTGTTATATGGGTTGGGCGGTCCTCAATTGAAATTCAACTGGAGGTTACTCAGTTTACAAATGGTATGTTTTCTAGAAGTGATAGTAACACTTCTGTATCATTGGTGTTATTTAAAGAAGAACAAAAGGTCTCATGTTTGGCTTAGTTGCTCCCACTGCTTCACAGCAAGCTCACTCACATTGTCAAAAGTTCTTAAAGAAAAATCCCTGGAGAACGAGTATTGAAGCTGATTTGTCAATATGATAATATCCAGACTTCCATCTGGACTCCTAGTTAAGCCCCCCTTACTGGGGAGTAGGAGGCGTAGACTGGTTACAAACGCAACTTTGACGCTCATTTCAGTCCCCATTAACTCCAACTTATCACTTCTAATTCTGTTGGGAAGATTCTTCAGAATATTTCCCTAGATTGTGAACCTAAAATTCTTAAAGTGAAGAATATTTCCACTAGATTGTGAAGCAAAAATTCTTAAAGAGTTTCACTTGAATGTTCCACTTGACTGCACTTAACCAAAAGGAAAAAAGGTTGGCTTCTAACCTTCAATCTTGAAGGTCTCCCCCCATCTTGATTTTTATGAAGGGATCCTTGAAGAATCATGGCTGCACTCACTATCTCTTGAACAAGCAAAAGTAGCATGTTAGTTCGGGAAGTCAAAGTAGAGGAATTGCTTGTGGTTTGCTTAATTGGCCATAACAGCCAGCCTTCTCCCTTTCCTTTTTAGTTTTAGAAAAATACCTAATTACAAGAGGGGGGGCTTTGAAGCATATCTTTCAACTGCCACATGGAACCAAGGTAGAAAAGTTTGAAAAAATCAATCTTGTGTGTGTGAGGATGTGTTTGTTTTTGGGATACAGTCTGCTATTTTATGTATAACAAATGTATAATTTTCGTAGTTATTCACACATTAATCTTATTCTGTTTCGTAATAAATAGAACATTGAGATTTAATACTTCATAATAGTCTGCCTCACTTGAAAACTATCGACCCTTCTCAATTATCCTCATGCTAACTCTCCCTCTCTCTCCCCCTTAATTTTATTAATTTTGAAGTCCATAATTGTCACACCCTAAATGACTTGGGTGCAAATGGCCGGTCTTGGTGGCACCTTGCACCAAGGAATGCCAGAAATCGGAATCAAGGTGATGCGGTTAAGTGGTTCGACAGATTGGGGCGAACCAAGGCAGTATGAGACCACCCAGTTGAGCATGGTAGCATGGGTGGGCTCAATTGAAGCAATGTGGGTGCAGAGCTTTGGATTGCATGGCATGGGTTGAACCCAGCATGCACATTGGTTCGTGTAGCAAGGTTGACTGCTGAATGTGGGCACATGGCTGCTAAATGTGGGCACCTGAATGGCACATGGCTGCTCAATGCATGTGACCAAGAAGATGTGGGCGGTTATGATGCTGAGACTCAGTCAAGGCAGTTGCTGAGGCAGTTCTGGACGTCCCCAGTCTGAATCCAATCTAGATGCATGCTGATGAAGGGCAGTTCCACAGTAGTTACTGGAAGTGGTGGAACTGCCTGCCAGGTGTTGCACAGAGACCAAGCCTGCTAGCCCAGTATGCTATGGAATAGCAAAAACGTGGGTAATTACCCCTTGGCAGATGGGGGTATCATCTGCCTTCCTCTTGTATAAATAGGGGTGCTTGAGCATTCTGGAAGCGGGAGAGTGTTCTGGTTTTGAGAGTCCTTGTAAATTGTTGAGTTCAATATATAAGGTTTGAGAGTATTGTCCCAGTAAATTCGTGTGTGCCTGCTGTGTGAGTTTCTGCCCCTTATTCTTGAGTTTGAGTGTGGCTGGTTGCAATAGCAACGCCTTCACAGGTAGCCTCAAAAGAAAAACGAAAGTTACCCTGTGACAATTTGGTATCAGAGCGTAGTTTTGGCAACAGATCAACTATGGCTGGCGGAACAAATGCTGATATGAGGGAAAGGGTGGCACGTTTGGAGGAGCTGGTTGGTCCTCCATAGTCTGGTGATGCTGTAGCTCTCTCTGTGCAGCTTGAGTTGCTATATCAGCGGTTCGAAGAGATGCTTGTTGCACATGAACAGCTTCAAAAGACTGAATCTGATCACTTCAGTCGAGTGAAAAACGAAGTCGTTGACGTGTTGGCTACGATCTCCACATGGACCGATGATATGGGGGAAAATTGAGTTCCCTTGAGACCGACGTTTCAGTGCTTAAGAGGGCATTGCAGAATGCCTCTGTGGCTTCTGGCAGTGAAAGCACTCAGAAAGTTAAAGTGCCCGACCCTAAGCCTTTTACAGGCAGTCGAAATGCTAAAGAACTCGAGAACTTTCTGTGGGATATGGGGCACTACTTCAAAGCAGTCCGCACTTCGGATACTGAGAAGATAGATCTCACTAGCATGTACCTGTCCGGTGATGCTAAATTATGGTGGCGAACCCGTTCTGAGGACAAATCTCGTCCTCCAATTACTACTTGGGAGTCTCTGTTCGCTGAAATGAAGGAGCAATACCTTCCCAGCAACACGGCTTGGCAAGCCCGTGATGCATTGAGGAAACTTCGACATACAAGCACCGTGAGGGAATACGTGAAGCAATTCTCGTCTCTGATGTTTGACATTAAAAATATGTCAAAGGAAGACAAGCTGTTCAACTTTATGTCTGGCCTCCAAACTTGGGCACAGGCAGAACTTCGTCGGCAAGGGGTGAAGGACTTACCCGCTGCTATGTCCGTAGCAGACGCGCTGGTTGATTACAAAACGCAGGCTAATCCTCCAGAGAAGGAGTCAAAAGGGAAAGCCAAGTTTGCTAAGAAGGATAAGCAGAAGAAAAAGACTGAGAAGTTTGGCAATTCAGAAAAACAGACTGACAAAGCCTTTTCATCAAAGGGAGGTGTTGACTCAGGTTGTTTTATCTGTAATGGCCCTCATCGTGCCAGAAATTGTCCCAAGAAGGAAAAGCTCAGTGCCCTTGTGGCTGAGGAAACTGATTGTTCTGACGAACCAACACGAGTCAACCCATTACAACTTCTTAATGCAATTCGCAAAGAGGAGACAGTGGCAAAGAGGGGGTTGATGTTTGTGCAGATTCGCCTAAACAATGTGGCTGTCCAGGCAATGGTTGATACAGGTGCAACCCATAATTTTGTTTCTGATCGGGAGGTACAACGGCTTGGTCTGGCTTTGGTGAAAGACTCTAGCCAGATTAAGGCTGTTAATTCAGAGGCAAAACCAGTAGGCGTCGCAAGAGAAGTCCCTCTAAAAGTGGGTGATTGGCAAGGAACATGTGATTTTATGGCAGTCCCTCTCGATGATTTTCAGGTAATCCTTGGACTGCAATTCCTTACAAAGGTAATGGTGTCTGTTATGCCGCATTTACATGGGATGTTCGTGAAGGACATGCCCAATCCTTGTTTTGTTCCCCTCACTAAGGCCAAGTCTTCGGGGGAAATGCTGTCTGCCTTACAAGTAAAAGATGGCTTGCGAGAGGGGGAGGCAACATACTTGGCCGTTCTATTTGAGGAAGAGGAGTCCAAAGCATTGCAAGTCCCTGAACCAATGCAACAGTTGCTGGTTGAGTTCAAGGATGTGGCACCTAAAGAATTGCCAGCAAGGTTACCGCCAAGACGGGAGATTGACCATATCATTGAGTTAATTCCAGGGGCAAAAATCCCTACACAGGCTCCTTATCGAATGTCTCCATCAAAATTGGCGGAGCTAAGGAGACAACTTGGGGGTTTATTGGACATTGGGTTCATTCAACCTTCCAAGGCACCCTATGGAGCTCCTGTTCTGTTTCAGAAAAAGAAGGATGGATCCTTACGGCTTTGTGTAGATTACAGAGGGCTCAACAAAGTCACTGTCAAGAACAACTATCCAGTGCCGCTTGTCGACAAACTATTTGATAGATTGGGAAAGATGGTTTTCTTTACCAAGATGGATTTGCGGCTGGGATATCATCAAGTTAGAATTGCAGAGGGAGATGAGGCGAAGACTGCTTGTGTGACAAGGTACGGGTCATATGAGTTTTTAGTTATGCCTTTCGGCTTAACCAATGCCCCTGCTACATTCTGTAACTTGATGACCAATGTATTTCGGGAATACTTGGACCGCTTCATGGTGATTTATTTGGATGACATAGTTGTTTATAGCCAGACTCTTGAGGAGCATGTTGAGCATCTTAGGTTGGCCTTGACAAAGTTAAGGAAAGTCCAATTGTATCTGAAATCAGAAAAATGTGAGTTTGTCCAGAAGGAAATTTCATTCCTGGGGCATATTATTTTTGCGGGCGTAGTGAAGATGGACCCGAAAAAAGTTGAGGCCATTGCAAATTGGCCTGTCCCTACTAAGGTTATTGAACTGCGTTCTTTCCTTGGTTTGGCAAACTATTACCGAAAATTTGTGAAGAATTATTCAAAGAAGGTCGCGGTGCTAACTGATCTTCTAAGGAAGGATAGGATATGGAACTGGTCCTACGAATGCCAGGAGGCATTCGATCGATTGAAGGCGGTGGTGACGTCTAGCCCAATTTTACGCTTACCTGATTTTGATTTGCCCTTTGAAGTTCATACAGACGCATCAGACTTTGCTCTTGGAGGGGTGCTGGTGCAGAATAGGCATCCAGTGGCATTTGAAAGTAGGAAGCTGAATGATACCGAGAGGCGGTATTCAGTACATGAGAAGGAGATGACATCAGTCATTCACTGCATCAATGCATGGAGGCACTACTTGTTGGGGAAGCATTTCCTTGTACTGATAGATAATGTGGCTACCAGCTGCTTCAATTCCATGAAGAAGCTGACACCAAAACAAGCAAGATGGTAGGACTTTCTTGCTCAGTTTCATTTCACGTTGCAGTACAAGCCTGGCAGTGCAAATCAGGTTGCTGATGCTCTTAGTCGAATCCCAGTTGCTGATGGGACAGTTGCTACACTTAGCCAGATTGCAGGAGACATACTGCAAAGAATTCAGGATCAGACTAAAGATGATCCAGTGACCAGTTTATTGCTGAAGCAGGTTCATGAAGGGGTGACTCGACGATTTTGGGTAGAGGATGGTGTTCTCTACGCCAAAGGTAGGAGATCCTATGTTCCGAAGTCAGGCGGACTTCGACAAATGTTGCTGAAAAAAGCTCATGATGCTCTATGGGCAGGACATCCAGGGCAGCAACGGACTCTTGCCTTGCTAGCAGAAAGTTATTATTGGCCCCGCATGGAAGCAGATGTGGAGCTGTATGTGCGCACTTGTTTGGTGTGCCAGCAGGACAAGATTGAAAGGAAGAAGGTGGCGGGTACATTGGAACCTCTCCCTATTCCAAGCCAACCTTGGGAGAGTGTTTCCATGGACTTCATTAATGGCTTGCCTCAGGTAAACGATTTTACTTCGATATTTGTGGTGGTAGACAGATTTTCGAAGAATGTCACTTTTATTGCTGCCCCAAAAGTATGTACGGCGGAAGTTACTGCTCAGTTATTCCTCAAGCATATTGTGAAGCTTTGGGGTCTTCCGTTGGACATAGTGAGTGACAGGGACACTCGGTTTACTGGCCGGTTCTGGACAGCTTTATTTGAACTGTTGGGCACACAGTTCAACTTTTCCACCAGCAATCATCCGCAGACAAATGGGCAGACCGAGCGGGTCAATGCAATGCTGGAGGAATATCTCAGACATTATGTCACAGCGAACCAGGACAATTAGGTGGATTTACTTGATGTAGCCCAGTTCAGTTATAACCTCCAATAGAGTTCTTCCACTGGAATGAGCCCCTTTGAGTTGGCAACTGGCCAACAGCCTCTTACCCCGCATGAAGTTGTCAAGCAAAAGTCTCAAAGGAGATGTCCTGCAGCATATCGCTTCGCTCGGGCCAATCAGGAGCGGACCGACGAAGCAAAAGACTGTTTAACTAAAGCGGTGAAGAGGATGAAAAAGTGGACAGACGAGAAGAGGAGGGCAGTAGAGTTCGAAGTGGGTGACAAAGTGATGCTGAAATTGATCCCACCAATCTGGAACAAGATCTCTCGGAAGTCTGCACACAAGGGATTAATCCAGCGTTATGACGGCCCTTTCCTAATAACAATGGGGATTGGTAGGTTGGCCTATAGGCTGGATCTTCCCAGTCGTTTCAAGTTTCATCCAGTTTTCCATGTTGCCTTCTTAAAGCCGTATATTGAGGACCCAGAGGACCCTAACAGATACATTCGGCGTCGGGCTCCTCCAACAATCAGAAAGCAATTCACAGAAATAGCTGAAGCTATCCTTGACCACAAGACTGAGGGAATGAGTAAGAAAAATAGAAGAACTCATTACCTAGTCAAGTGGAAAGGGAAAGCACCGGAGGAAGCCACTTGGGAGAAAGAGACGACATTGTGGCAGTTCGAGGATCTCATCAAGCAATACCATGCCTCCACTCCAACGAGGTTGTTGGATACTTCAGGTAGGGGTGGTTTGTCACACCCTAATTGACTTGGGTGCAAATGGCCGGTCTTGGTGGCACCTTGCACCAAGGCATGCCAGAAATCGGAATCAAGGTGATGCGGCTAAGTGGTTCGACAGATTAGGGCGAACCAAGGCAGCATGAGACCACCCGGTTGAGCATGGTAGCATGGGTGGGCTCAATTGAAGCAATGTGGGTGCAGAGCTCCGGATTGCATAACATGGGTTGAACCCGGCATGCACATTGGTTCGTGTAGCAAGGTTTACTGCTGAATGTGGGCACATGACTGCTGAATGTGGGCACATGGCTGCTCAATGCATGTGACCAGGAGGATGTGGGGGTTATGATGCTGAGACTCAGTCAAGGCAGTTGCTGAGGCAGTTCTGGACGTCCCCAGTCTGAATTCAGTCTAGATGCATGCTGATGAAGGGCAGTTCCACAGCAGTTACTGGAAGTGGTGGAACTGTCTGCCAGGTGTTGCACAGAGACCAAGCCTGTTAGCCCAGTATGCTATGGAATAGCAAAAACGTGGGTAACTACCCCTTGGCAGATGGGGGTGTCATCTGCCTTCCTCTTGTATAAATAGGGGTGCTTGAGCATTCTGGAAGCGGGAGAGTGTTCTGGTTTTGAGAGTCCTTGTAAATTGTTGAGTTCAATATATAAGGTTTGGGAGTGTTGTCCCAGTAAATTTGTGTGTGCCTTCTGTGTGAGTTTCTGTCCCTTATTCTTGAGTTTGAGTGTGGCTGGTTGCAATAGCAACTCCTTCACAGGTAGCCTCAAAAGAAAAACGAAAGTTACCCTGTGACAATAATGTATATCTATAATGTACTTATAAAAGTCACTTAACTTAAAAAACTTTTGAGTAACCAATATACACTTATTAAAATAGTTAATAACATTAGTATCATTTAACAACTTAAAAAGACATTGATATCTCATGACATTACTCATATCGTTAAGTATTTTAAAAGATATAAACAGCCCTTCTTTTATCTCTAATTTATTATAAATTTAAAAAGTTGATATTAATAAATGATAAATGCTAAATATTAGAATATTTTAAATTATAAGATGTTGGAAAAACTTTTGAATCATTTTATTGCCTTTAAAATATATATTAAGACAATGGTTCTAAATTGATATATGAACCATTCATTAGTTATTAGTTATTATTTATTACTAGGTTTACCTTAAATAACCATTTTATAAATTTTCATTACCTAAAATTTGTTCATGTGCAATGCACGTAGTTCATTGCTAGTTACTTTATAACTAGAAGCTATTTTGATGACTTTATGAAGCAATTAAAAAAGGTTAATTACCCTTCTCATCTTTGAAGTTTACACCAATTTTGACTTTGATCCTTAAATATTTTTCAATTTTGTCCTCTGACTTGCCAATCAATGACTTCCATTCAACAAGTAACTAGAAAACATGTGTTATCATGGAACAATGAGGTGATACTTTGTCCATGAAAACTCTAACTACCGTTGTCGAGTGGATTGAATTGAGAATATGTAAAAAGTTGAAGGAGAAGATCGGCAAATGAGGCTTTAAGGACCAAAGTGGGAATCAAGTGAAATTTCAGGTGTAAAAAGTGTAACTAACCTAAAAACAAATAGGTTGTTTCTCTCAATATTTGCTTCAGTTATGGACCTCAATTGAATGAAATAGTGCTTATATTCGTCACACTTGATTGGGGGAAATTTGTTTTGCAGATAGCACTGATTCTTCAGAATCAGTAGTTCTTATGGCCAACTTCATCTTTGTAGCCCGTGACTATAAGACAAGGAAAGCTGCTCCAGTAAATCGACTCTCTCCAGAAACTGAGCAAGAAGAGTTGCTCTATAACGAAGCAGCAGCCAGACATAACCTTCGGAAAACTAAGAGAGAAGAAAGGAAGGAAATTGAGAATGGGGAACTAAATAGACTTCAAGCTCTATTGGCTGAGGGACGGGTCTTCTGTGACATGCCAGCTTTGGCAGATAGAGACAGTATACTACTCAGGGATACGCGGCTTGAGAATTCTTTGATATGTCAGCCGCAGCAAAGGAACATCTATGGTCGGATATTTGGAGGGTTTTTGATGCACCGAGCATTTGAGTTAGCTTTCTCAACTGCTTATACTTTTGCTGGGATGATGCCTTGCTTTTTAGAAGTTGATCATGTTGATTTCTTAAGACCAGTGAGTACTTCATCCTCAATTTTTCTGTCATATGATTAGCGTCAACCCTGGTTCTGAATGGAGTTCTTCCAAACAGAAATTCTAGAACTAGAAACATGGTACCTGGTCACCCCTCATCAATTTACTTCTTCTCCCTTCTCCGATACCAGCTTCTCTGGGCATGTGCTATATACTCATATTTGGTGACAGCAATGACATGACATGCTTTCCTTTTCTTTTTTAAACATTCTGACTCAGCTATGAGTCTGCAGATGAAAATTTGATGTCTTTTATTTAAAATTGGTGGGTGAAACCTGTTTTTGTTGTTTTTCGGGTTTGAACATCAGCCATGTAAAAACTTCATTTTTATTCCAGATGATCGGTCTGTGTTGTAATTCCTTCCAAATACAATTTTGTGTCATCCAAAATGCGGTTACCCAATTGGTTTTCTACTATTTGGGAAGGAACCTACTCTCGTACATGGGGTACTTATGTCTTTGGAGCAACCTTGGCTGCATTTGAGGTAACAGAATATACATTTTGGTGCTACAGGTTGATGTTGGAGACTTCTTGCGTTTCACATCCTGTGTCCTGTACACAGAATCCGAGGATCTCGATCAGCCTCTTATTAACATTGAAGTTGTTGCCCATGTGACAAGACCCGAGTTGAGGTCTAGTGAGGTATGTTTTACTGGGGCAAACAACTTTTTCCTTTTACCATTTTCCATAGCCATACTTTAAAGGTTGTCCTACTTGAGAGCTTTATTATGTCCAAATATCACTTCCACTTGAAACTGAAAATTTTAAATTCGTAATGGTGTCATTGGTGCAGGTGTCAAATACTTTCTATTTCACGTTCACTGTCTGTCCAAAAGCAAAATCCATGAAAAATGGATTCAGGATTCGGAAGGTGGTTCCGGCCACAGAGGAGGAAGCACGCCGTATTGTAGACCGCATGGATGCGAAGGCTTTGCAGTCAATGAAAATATGAATATATATTACACAAATTAGAATAAGAAGATAGTTAAAAGGCAGGGGGGTTATTGAACTTAATTGTATACAGTGGCATTAACTTACATGATGCCTTCAATCAGTGGTTTTCTCTTCTGGAATCCTAGACTCAGACCTATATATATTTATGATATTAATTACATTTGAACAAATTCCATGTCTTTCTTTGTGTTCTTTCGGCTTTGAATTTAGCGACTGAATGGGTTTTTGGTACGTTACTGATAGCATGTCTCTAACTGGTTTAGCTGCGCTGTTTCTTATTCTAAATATGAACACAAAACATGACATACGGCTGAATTTCTCCTCCTTTCAGGGCCTTAAACTCTGCTTCTGAATAGTGGGTTTTTTTTCTTCCTGAATTTACATTTTTAAAATGCTGTTGGACAACCATCTAATATGGTGGTCTAGTGGTAAGTCGTACTCGTTTAGAGTCGTCTATGACTCTCATGTGGTTATTAAGGAGAGTTTAATTTACTGGAGTAATGCCGTTGTGGTTTGGCTTTGATGGTGCTATGATGACGGATTATCATTTTGGATTAGTAGTTATGATTCAAATCGTATCATTCATAGTGGGGGAATCCTCGTGATCACGGTCAGGAGTTACTAGCTACTGGCCATTCATTCCCTTTTCTCCCGTAAACAGTCTTTGTGCTTTGGATTCTCCTCTGTATCGTACTCGACCGTTGAAATTTGTCAGTGTCTGTGGTGGGTGGATTTCATTGAATGAATCCCAACTTGAGATCATTGGTTTGATCTAACGATAATGATGAATTAAATTAACAAAACATAGTAGATCCAACTAACATTGCCCTTCTTCAATGGTTTGTGGTCCCTACATTGGAAGCATTGACATAGCTTTTGTAACGGTCAAACCGTTAAATTTTGATTATCATTGCACTCCAGAATGCATCTGTTAGCAGCTAGGTAATAATGATTCATCTGTTCTTTTTTCTTTTTCCCCCGATAGAATCTAAGCTTTTTAAAACCTGATTGAGTAATTCCACTGTTTCTTGCCTCGTATAGCTACCATTGTAAAACGAAAGGTCGTCCTAATCATAAAAAAAGGAGACCACAGTAGCTGGATCCCCAACAACCTGTCATTGTGATTGCAATTGAAAACCATTTGATTGCCATTATAACTTGCATAATACCACACTTGACTAAATTGTTCAATGATTCTCATCCTTGTTGATTATAAGATTATTAAAATTAGAAATCAATGGATAACACCAAGTTCACAGCTTACTAGCAAGCCCATATTCTAGAGCAAAAAAAAGGTATCTTCACTGTCAACTGTGACAAAACTTTCCCAGTTTAGACCAGCAATTCACGCACCTCGGTTAATACCTCACTAGCCGCATCATTACCCAAACGCAATGATACTCAGTTACCCCTCCCAAGAAGAAAAGAAAAAAAAAAAAAATCGAAGTAGGAAGCGTGGGAAAAGAGAAATTATCTGCTTGTTAAACTGAATAGCATCACTAGATCAAAGCTATTTACAAGTTTACCAGTCAATTGACCATTCAGAGGCCACTGCGTTATTCTGTCAAAAGAAAATAACCTCTATATATATCTATGGGATGATATAATGTTGAAATTTTTTTACATGGACCTATGTAAGTACAAAAATGAAAATGCAAATATCTAAATTTTCGACAGGCACTTCCCAGGACAAGCTTCTGAATCGACAAAAATGTCACCTGTTTTGAGCCATAACCTCTTAAGGAGACGAGGTCTCATCATCAGAGGAACTGTAATGGACTCTTCCAGGAAAACTAGTAGAAACTGGCTGTAGCGTAGGATTCACTGGAACTGGAAATTTATGGGCAGAACTGACTATGGTTCGCTCATTTATCATACCAACTTCCTTGCAGACACGATCAAGAACAGTAAGGAAGTCCCTCACGACCAAGAAGATTCTGAAAGGATGAGCTTCTTCCTTGGCTGAGTTCCCATGGAAATATTCAGTTATCTCCTTAACTAGAGAAAGAGCAACGCTCTCCTGGGCTTGAATCCTTATAATCTCCTCCTCAGCCATTTTTGTAAACATGTTCACCGACTCAGAAAATCTCCTGCTTTTTCCATCGGACACCATTGTATCATTTAATCGTGCAACCTCGGCAATGTTCCCAATTCCTTTAGAAAGCTTCAAGACATCACCATTAAGCACTTCTGAATCCATAGCAGCAGCTTTCTTCACATTTGTGAGCTCTGAACAGAGAGCAGAAACAACCTGCAGACCAAGCTTCCTGCATTTAACATCGTCATTGACTGTGGATGTTGGATTTTGGTTGGTACCAGCAAGACGTGCACCTTCACTTCTTGTTATCTCCTGAACAACAAAATGCAAAAGAGTGGTTTTCCCATCAGCACCTTTGACATCAACAAGCTTGAGGAGTGTGTCAAGCTTGAAGGCATGAGCATCTCCACGGTTAGTCCCAACATTCATTCGATTCCCAGTCTTTAGTACAGCTTCTAGAAGCTTTAAAAACATCCTACTGTTCCTCAGTTCTTCACAGGCTGCCTGCAAAATTAAGGACCTTTGAGTGAACATAACCTGGAACTAAGCAATCTACGGAGAACAGTAATGCTAAAACTTTCTTCTTCAGCAAACAAAATATAGTCTTTTGAGCTCTGTGCAAGTGAACTGAGCTCCATTAAGGAGTATAAACTGTGAAATATGTTTAGAACAGACTCCAAACACAAAGAATTACATAATTTTGCTCATTGAGCCTTTGCTCACGCATTTCTGATGTGATATTCATCTCATGGAAACTGGTGGCCAATAAACTGAAGAATTATTTTGAGCGATCCAATTTGACACTCCCTGCTAAAGATGATGAAAACATTTGTAACCCAATAAGGTAGCATGGCTTGATTGGTGTTAAATCCCCCAGAAAAATCAAATATTTTTCTGTTTGAGCCTAATGTTTTTAGCCTAGGACCACAAGTAATGAAAGTTTTATTTTCTACAAAAGCCAAAATAATGCAGATTGCTCCACTTTTGATCCTTTCTTCCTCTACCCATTACTCCAGATGGGTAGCATCTGTTCATTCAATCAGCACTGACAAAAACATTAGCCTATTAGCAATATTCCCATGGCAACAAGCTGTTTGAACAGTCTTTTTATGCGTAGCATTGTATATACACTAGGATTGCAGGTTTTAGCATTCTTCTAATGCACACGCAGAGCAAAAAACCAACATGGAAGTCACAATATTACCTCTAAAGTTTCAAATGACTTTTTGAGGTACTCGATCTCAGACTCAAAGTTGGACATGTAGAGCATTGCATCCACCCTTTTGAATGCAAAAGGAATATCAAGCACTGCCTTCAAAAACCTCTCAGCAGGACCAAGTTTGAATGGTGAATCGTCTTTGTACTCTTTCAACTTACGTTCTTCTTCTTTAGTCGGAGCCATCTTCAATAAACTCTCAAGAAGCTCAGTTCCAAGTGCATCCGCATTCCCTGTATAGAAGTGCAAAACATGTTATGTGCATGGCCAAGCTCCTAAAGATACATGCTGTTCGTTTTAGAAATCCTCAGGCACAGGATACATCAAACCTCCGTCTGCAGTACTGGAGGAGGACAATACAGGGACAAACATTATAGCAGTGAAAGGTGTAGCATGGACATTGGCATGTGTATCAATGGAGCATATAGCATAATTAAGAATCTGACATTAATATATTAGAGCTCATGAATTTGTAATAAGAAAAGTAGTCTTAATATTTTTAGCACTGCTTTTGTAAATTAGTAGTAAACCTTTTCCAGTAGGATTATGCAAAACTAAAAGGCAGCCAAAGGTATGCCACATATCTATGGTATGTTACTTATGACGGTTGCAGACATGATAAATTGTGTTTACAGAATCCTAGGAGTTCAAAATCAACATGAAAAGTTAAAAGTAAAAATGGTAACATATAAGGAACCCAGAGCTGTGCACGTAGACTTTGTTAGAAGGTATGACACCCCTAAAAATACAGTGCAGGAAAGAAAGATGATGTGTTAAAAAATTAGATAATCAAAGACTGAAGCACATATTAATGATGCAATACATGTAGTATAATGTGGTAGCTAGCCTCAAGTGATTTTTCTAAGAAAGGAGAATAAGCACCATACAGGCTGATACTCTCAATTTAAGGCCATTTTTCTCACAACCACCATTGAAGACTCAAAGTATAACCTGACTGACAGCATAAATAAGAAGCATAACAAAATCCAACTTAATAACCATGAACAACACGACCACTTCACTTTGCATCATATTCTGTATTGGTTGCTTTCCTCAAAATGAAATTTGGCTTCCCAAGGCAAAACTAATTTTAAATTCGGCCAATGGAACATTGAAATCTGAAATATGTCATTTTCTTGAGAACAAAAAGATCATTCTAAAATGATATAATGTCTGAAGAACACATAATTAATACGAGTTAATCATTTCATGTCCTGATGCACAGAGAAGGTTGTTTCAATCAAATTGAATAGTATATCTTTTTACATCAGCCAGCTGTGTTCTTGACTGAGGTGAGCAATTATAAGCAAGTATCATTATCAGACGTTGAATCATTTTCTTATGACACTCACAACCCAGAAGAGTCTCTCTGATTAAAAAACAACACTCATATATGTTTACAATCTGAGAATTATCTCAGAAGGAGATCGACCCACAATCAGGATAGCCATAAAAGTTCATTAAGAAATGAGACGTTACCATCTAAAAGGGCCTCACAAACTTCCTCTATTGTCACATTCAGTGCCCTCAGTAGAATTGCAATGTTCTGCGATTTCTTTGGATCAAGTACCCTATTCTCTTGGCTCAGAGATGAAAGAACCGGGCGTCGGGTCATTTCATTAGGATTTGAACTTGGAGTATTGACAACAAACAATGATTCAATCATTTCTTCATTCAATCTGCAATCAACGCAAATTAGTCAGCTAACAAGAACGAAAACCATAGTTTAGCCAACAAATAAAAGCAATCATTGTATGATAACCATGGCAAGATTTAAAGAGTATCGTACTTGAATGAGCTCGATTTTAGCTGATCCCACACCATTTCACGGTCGGAACTCGCCCTTACTTTATCCCAATGCAATGGCTTCAATTTTGGTTTGGGAGTCTGCTCATTTTTCTGATCATTTTCCAAGTTGGGAGGCAATTCTATTGGAGAAATCAATGTTTGACTTTGGACACTAGGATTCAAAGGAGTTATAAGAACTGGTGGCTTAACTATTTGCTCCCGAGCTGGTGGGGTAGGAGTTCTGGGGCTTTCCCAGTGCCTCAGTGGCGGTGGTGGAGGTGGTGGCGGTATAGAAACTAACCGTGGTGGAACAGAAACAGGCGGCGGCGGAGGCGGTGGTGATGGTGATGGAAAAGAAACGGACACATCCTGCTGAATAGAACTACTGATTCTCGCCGGAGAATATGAATTTCGATCAGAAAAATTTGATATTCTGGGTGAGGAATGTTGGCTTTTCCTTAAATCGCTAGCCGGAGAATGTGAAATTTGATCTGAAACGTTTGATAATCTCGGTGATGAATCCTGGCTTTTCCTCAAACCTCTGGCTGGGGAATGTGAAATTTCATCCGAAACATTTGATAGTCTCGGGGATGAGTCCTGGCTTTTCCTTAAACCTCTAGCCGGAGAATTTGAAATCTGATCTGAAAGATTTGATAATCTCGGTGATGAATCCTGACTTTGCCTTAAATCTCTCTCCGGAGATGATGAAGAAGGCGGCGACGGGGACGCAGATTCCTTCATATTAACCAATGACCCTACGAGAGCCGAGGGTGGAGGTGGTGGCGGCGGCGGTGGAGCAGTCTGAACCGGAGCCAATTCCGGCGACTTCGGCCTCGAATTTTTCGGACTCAAACTGACCGGAGGAGAGATGCTCAAGGACACTGACCTCACCGGCGAACACGAACTCGACGGGGAGTATGAAGAAGAGCCTGACCTACCACTCCTCTCTGCGAAATTCTCCGCCTCTAAAGCAGCAATCGCCCTCCTCGAAGCAGATCCAGTGCCGATTGAACTCTCACGACCCGTCAAAGACCCTTTCGGAGAGTAAAACTCGTCATCTTCCTCGTCCCCACCTTGAGCATTACTGTAATTCTGCCTCAAACTCTGACCACTAAGCGGCGGCAATGGGCTGAGCTCCGGCGAGTCCAGTTTCGTTGAATTTCCATTGTCACCACCACCACTACTAAGACCATTTTGATGAGAATGCCCTTCGACGACATTCTGAGAATTGACCAGAGTACCAAGATAAAGAAACTCAGCGCTGGTATGTGAAGGTCTTTGCAGCTTTGGAATCCCACTGGTACTTCTTCTAACGTTACCATAGCTCGATTGATTACTGGTATTGGATCTGTAAGTCTTGTCATCGTTAAAAGTTTGGTGTCTTCGCTTACGAATTTGTAGAATAATAACGATGGCAATGACAGTGACGGCGGCGAAAACGGCAGCGACTGCGGTGGCAATGAGCTTAGAGGAGACGGTTTTGGGTTTAGAAGATTGAGGGACGATGAGAGAGGAGATGTTGGCCGGGAAAGAGGCAAAGGAGGAGGAAGAAGGTGGAGATGGCGGTGGTGGTGGGGAGGGGTAGTTTGGGAAAAAAGGTTGCTGCTGATCAGGTGTAGAAGTAGAAAATGGGATTTTGGGTGTTGGGGGTGAAGGGGATGGTGGTTGGGATGGCGGTAGGGAGTCTAGTGGGACAAAGGGCTGGTGGAGTATGCGGCGGTTGTGGGTGGCAATGGCGGTAGCGGTGATTGAGGATGATGGGTGGGGTGCGCAGGATAAGAAGAGGCAGAGAAGGAGGAGGAGGAAGATGGGGGGCATTGTAATGGTTTAGAAAGATGAACAGGAGAGAGAGAGAGAGAGAGAGAGAGAAGGCTGTGGTACAAATGTAGATGATGAAATGGGGTGCTTTGTTTGGATTGTTTTCACACACAGATCTGCATGGAGAGAGAGAGAGAGAGAGAGAGAGAGAGAGTAACGAGTGAGTACGAAAGGGTTGAAAACAAAGAGTGAGACTTAGATTGTGGTAATTTTGAAAGTTTGTGTTCCTGCGTCCACCTAAGAGTCAGCTGGAGGAGGTGTTTTTTTTTATTTTTTTATTTGTTACAGTGTATTTAATTTTTCACCAATTATTCATTTCAGCTGCTTAACCACCGTGATTTGAAATCAGTTAAATCACGGTAATAGTTTGTTATTACACTTTCACTGCTAAAAAAGCTAAACAAATAAATTTTTCCAACGTAACATTAAATAAATTTATTATTATTTTATTAATGACAATTCATTATATTCTATCTCAAATTATATTCATAATTGACGTCCCAATAACATTGCTCTTTTCAATATTATACTAAAAAGTTTTAAAAAATTTCAAAAATTAATAAATTACACCCAAAAAATGATAAATTTTAATAAAAAAATATGACAACTGAACTCAAAAAATAAATATATTCCAAAAATTAGTAATTTACACCAAAAAGGTAATAAGTAATACGGTAGCAATCTTTTTGTTGTACCGTAGCCCAACCCTTGGTTATAACGTGGTAGTTCAATTTCCTTGATAACAAGGTTTTTTTTTTTTTTTTTTTTATAGACAAAATCACTCAGAAACTAACTTATACTTAAAAGTGTAAGCATAACCACCATTGCCATTGAATTCGTAGACCTCTATTCATAGTTTACTTAATGAGAAATATTACGTTGACCTAATTTATTTACTAATCGTTAATAACAATTAGATTGTGAGTGAATTTTAATATTTTTTTTATCCAATGTTCAGAAGTATTTATGTTAATTTACGCTTATTTTGACTAATTTTTTCCTTAGTTCGATTAAAATCAAACCATCCACGTCGAGACTAGAACATTCATAAGAGATTTATTCCTCATAAACTGATTCTAAGAATTTATTAAAATTCAAACTCAAGATATGTGAGTTTTTTTTTCTCTCTGTTATCCCTTAGGGTTTATATTTGAGTAGTTTATATTAAGACTCATAACCAATCTAATAATTATGTCAATAAATTAGTTCTAAATAACATTACTGATAATTAATTTTAATAGTGCTCTTCGAATATTCTTTATTGCTCATTGAGTAGATTAAACATTACTATGTATGATAGACAAATAATTCAAGTTGGGATACTCATAATGATATGATTGCATTAATTTTGAAAGGATATAATCATAGTTTCTCAAATTGCATATTTTTTGGACTTGATTATGGTACCGTTAAAAAAAAATTGGTATTATATTTCTAAAATTAATTACTTCAAAGGGTATTTTTATAACTTTTGTGGGTCATTTTACAATCAAAAAATTTATTATTTTTGTGGTTGATTTATCATTTTTGTGGGTGTTCTTACCACTATTATGAGTATTTTTACGACATTTGTAGTGAGGATTTTTACGATATTTATAATAATTATTTTTACCATTTTTCTTAAGTATAAAAAAATTTATCACTTTTATGAGTGAATTATCACATTTATGGATGTTTTTATCACAGTTGTGATAACTATTTTTACCATTTTTTTGGACATCACCACAGTTGTAACAATACCCACAAATGTGATAAAAGTTATCATAAATGTAGTAAATTTCGATATCATAATCGAGTCATTTTTGTATTTAGTGTTTAATTCTATAATGTATCCTTGTTGTGACATATGACGTTGCGAGAAAAAATTCATTAATCACCATTAATATGACAAACATTATGTTGTGTCCGGTAGGCGATAATAAAGCATGAGAATTAAATGACTATTACTTAATAATTACTCATTTCAATGTTTATTATATAGTAATGAAAATTCATTCCTATTCTCGTGGAATGTTTAAACCCATCAATACATAATTTGTCATTTCTCAATATTTGATGATATTTTCAATTCTCAATTACAATCACTTGTCATTACTATCACCGCCACTACTAGAACCTAAGGTTGGGTTGAGTTTTGGTTTTGGTATAAGAATTTTTTAAATATTTATTTATCTTAAATATTTGAGTGAATTTTCAATTCTATTCAAACACTTGATTATAATTATTGCAAAAACATTAGAATGATAATATACATTTTATTCTATTTTTACGCTAATTCTATTTTTTCACTTTAATTCTATTTCTTTTAAAAATATTATGGCGTATCAAAAACAGTGTTAAGTATCAATCACCAACACTGTCGGCACGACCAAAAGATCAAACACCTAATGTGTATGAGAGCGAGGGAGATATCGAGGCATGATTTGTGTAAAAAGCACTTGTTATTTGACAGAAGTTGCTAATATAACTGGTGAAATTAGTAGCAGACTTCTTAAAATCAGTGCAACCCATGGTAGATGCCATCGTAATAATCCAACTAAAGTTTTCCAAATTGTGTTTGCGTTTCTTAAAAACATATTCCTTGGTTCAAAAGTAGAAAACCTTCAAAGTTTAGGGGTGCACTTGGAATTTTTTTAATTTCCAAAATGGATATCGAAAGCGAAACAACATTGCCGACAATTGCGCCCGAGATTTGAGGCCAACCAAAGCGGTCAGTTTCTGTTGACTTGGTTGAGCACTTCTTGTACCACCGTCTGTGACTCACCCCTTAAATATTATTGGCCAATAATCGCTATAACTACGGTAAAGTCAACAAAAATTATTTAATATTATGGTAAGAAATTTGAATACTTACCTTATAAAACACCACAACCACCGAGGATTTATTAAATTTTTACCTATTTTGATTCAATAGTATAAAATGTACTTCAACTTTTTTTCCCATGACCCAACCAAAAAAAAATTTCCCAAACATGTTCTCTGCATAATTTCTAATGTCAAACATCCTCATTAATTCACAATTATCTCTTTCTTATTTTATGTCATTTCATTTTAATTTTAATGTTAGATTTTTGGTATTACAGAGTACGAGATTATTACTAATTAACAAATTTATACTATATCACTATATAGTAAACAAATTAGGTGGGAAATACATTGTGGGGCCTTCCATTCCTATTCTTTCAAATTCTTAAACTTAAGATTTATTTTAATACACTCAATCCCATTATATTTCACCGGTCTATCATTGCCTTCATTCTTACACAAGTTTATATGGGTATACTTATATACGTTAATCGTCTAATACGTATGGTCCATATCCGATCCAAACAGGGTAGAGTTAGACGAATACTAATTTTTCTTCGATCCACTGCTGTCAAGCCTATGTAAAAAATAAGAAATGATATCGCAAGGGATAATAGAAGATGATGCACATAGGATCGTCGTTAATGAGACACAAACCATCACATGCAAATGAGGCACACAGATAACCCTTAGGGTGATTCAATGGTCAAACCTATCATCTTGCAAGCAAAAAATATTAGGTTCGATATTTTCTACACCTTTTCTAGGTCGACCACCCTTGTTCCTAAAGAGAAATGTCCCTAAAATAGCTTGAGTTATGGTAGCTGGCTCAAAACTTGAGAGAGTAGTAAATACAAGTCTGTACACTAGGGGTGTTAAAATATAACACAGTCACCCTGAATTGAGTATATATGAAATTAATCAAAAAAAATGCATGACACGACTCATTTATATATCAGTCATATACAGTTAATATACGACACAAATAATTAATTATAAATTAATAAATAAATTAAATAAAAATAAAATATTTTTTAACATGAACCGAAAACAATCTATGCAAATCCGTCTCATCTATCAAGATCGACAAAGTTACTGCTGGACACACCGCAACTAAAAAATAAAAAATAAAAATGCGGCAGAGACAACTGCACATGGAGAGAGAAATGAGAATCTAATCTGATTTCTACAAAAATACCATTTTTTCAACCTTTTTTTTTCTTTTTCAACGTGATTTCTAACCAACTTTTCAATTAATATTTTTTTCCCAGAGTAAAAAAAAAAGAAAAAAAAAAAGAAAAGGGATACGTAAAACATTTGAAGAAATAAAGTAAGGACAAAAGACGAATTCAAAAAAAGTTGAATGTATAATATTCCAATAATCTTCCTAACAAATAACTAATAGGGGGTATCCATAAAATATAAACCAAGCTATAGGGGGGTGTAGTGTAATTTTAGAAATTAGTAGACCACCGTCATACGACATCATATAAGTAGCTCGCTTATTAATACATCATCGGTGATCTACCATTCCCAAAAAAGAGTAAAACAAAAAAAGTTTGTTGGAAGCATTTAAATCCTGAAAAAAATAAATTATAATCAGGGGTGGTCTGAGGCAATTTGGGGTTGGATGCGAAAGTTTTGGATGATACCCATTGTTTTTTAGCATAAAAATATTTATAATTTTATATAAGTATCTAAATATTAAATTATATTTTTTAATTTTTTTAATAAAAATTGAGATGTGAAAATACCAATTGAAAATTTATATTCAAATTTTATTAATATATCTTTTTCGATAGATGATATTGTAAATCAATTTAAAATCTAATAGTTGATCTACACTAAGATTAATATTTATTTGGACCATAAAAATTAATAAAATAATAAAATTCAAAACTCAATATCAGATACACAAATATTATTTTATGCTGTCATTGATGATATAAATTTTTCTAGCAAACTTAATTAAATTAAGCAAATCTTGTTGTTTGTGGTGTTCTAAAATTGTAAAATCACTTATTGATATTTTGGATATCATGTAACTTAAAATAAAACAAAGTAGAATTGTAACACAAATCAAAACAGTTACGGTAAACATGAAAGAGTTACAACAAACAGATACACGTAATTCTATGCCAAATTAATGTAAAAACTAATCCGTTGCAGAACAGAAACTGTTATTGAACTCGTAGTAGATCAAGGCTAGTGTTTGAAACTATGTCCTTAAGACAGATTTTGCCTCCACACACGGTATTT